GCTGACTATCTTGTGCTACTACCCAATCAAAGAAACACTCATGCAAAGTGCTGTGATCTATGGCTCCTCCTCCTCTTCTAGAACTCTTCCTACTGGCTATGGCACAATGATGACTAGGACAAATGTAGCAGGTAAGCAATCTTGTAAAATGCAAAAACCAGGAAGTATGTAACTTCATTGTGTGTGTGTGTAAGAGAATAATTATTAAATACTTTCTTCTCCGATAGGCCCTAGAAGAGCAAGGCAAGTTCTACATATCACCTCAAGCATCTTCAAAGGTAACGTTTTCCTAAAGGGAGAAGGAGAGCTATACTAGAAGTAAAACTGAATATATCAATTGCTTTAAAAATAATGATCTCCTCTTTATTGCTCTTGCTGTTGGCAGATGAATCTTTCACAGAAACCTATGGGCAGCATTCGGAAGCTCTCAAATACTCAAGGGAACCTGTTTATCTTGAAGTCGAACTAAAAGACGAAGCTCCTGGTGTTGAACTGTTATTGGATAACTGCTGGGTGGCTGGGTCTGAAGAGTTTGGCGCCATTCCCCAATGGAGCATCATTGAAGATGGGCAAGTGGCTCTAAACAACTGTTCTATAACCGTATTGATCAAGCTTCGTGGACTAATGACTCTTATGTCTCCTCTCTCAGATGCGAGAGCAAAGACAGTGGATCTGTGAGCTTCAGCCCAGTTACTAAAAGTGACAGAGTGAAATATCCCAATCACTTCAAAAGGCTGAGAATACAGATGCAGACTCTTCCTCTGAGAAAGGTACAATCCAAGTGAAACAGACAGGACTAGAAAATATTCATTGTGCAACTTCCATAGTTGAGGCAATCGGTTCAGTTTTACTTGAGCATGACTAATTAAGAAGAAGAAGAGGAAGAGTTTGGATTTGATGTCCTGCTTTATCACTACCCGAAGGAGTCTCAAAGCAGCTAACATTCTCCTTTCCCTTCCTCCCCCACAACAAACACTCTGTGAGGTGAGTGGGGCTAAGAGACTTCAAAGAAGTGTGACTAGCCCAAGGTTGCCCAGCAGCTGCATGTGGAGGAGCAGGGAAGAGAACCCAGTTCACCAGATTACGAGTCTACGCTCTTAACCACTTAATTACGTACTGTGCATTCCCAATCAAATGTCCCACCCCGCATTTTCAAATATATTGGGTGGGAAGTGCATGATAATGTTACCCAGTGAGCAGTACTTAATTTTAGTTTCTTTGGGATTCCATTCTATATGGCAAAAGCCGCTTAAGCCAAACTCCTACTGAAGTTCAGTAAAATCAGAAATGGCACACAAAGGGCCAGTGCAAATGATGTCATGCAGGGGAAACAGAATAAGCAGCCCTAGAGTATCGGCACAAACATCTGACATCATCCCTCTTTGCTAGTGAACACTGATGGGAGGTCTGTGTAGGTCTTTTTCTCTTAAAGTTCTGAATGGCATAGACCTGGCCTGCACAAGTTGTGATCCATCAGGTCAAATGCAGAGAACTCAATTTTTTAAATGGTTCCCTACCTCTTTGCCTTGGAATGCAAAAGGGGGCTGTGTTGGTTAGGCTTGATCAGTGCTTTTATTGAGTACCTTCTCGCACACAAAATGAGTTTTGATGCATCACTGTTACGCAGGACTGCTCTATACTGTTGTCATCCAAGCACTGGTCAGAAGTGTGTCACTTTTAAGCAACTTTTTAAATGCTGGCGCTTAACATATTGCTATTTGAAACAAAAATGTAAAATCCCACTACAACAAAGCTAGCATCTTTTCATAAAGCTTTTTTTTAAAAAAAGAAAGAAAGTTCAATTAAGGGATCCTCTCCATAGAAATAAGGAGAGCACTGTTGAATGAGAGCACTTGGGTACAACATTTTCAGCTGTAGGACTTATTCTTGCAATTTTCTAAGCCCGTCTGAAATAAGGGTCCTTTAATTTCTCTCTTCCCCTTCTAGGTATACTTCCACTGTACTGTAAAAGTCAGCACCTGCCTTCATCTGCCTGGTAATGGTCTTCCAGAGGGACAATGTTTACAAGGAAGGAAGCTTGGTAGGTGCACCACTGAAAACTCGGGAGATGCTGGCCATTAACCAGCTGGTGAACTTTCAATATATTGTAAGGTTACTTGTCTTACCCATAATTTCAGTGTACTGTTGTTGTTAAAGAATTTGGGGGGGGGGTCACCAGCTCTTTTCAAACTTCCTGGTAAATTTGCACCCATTAATTCCAGGAACAATTGACTACACTTGCCATACGTCAGATCAGCGTTCTGAAATCCACGGTTATGCAGTGGCTGGACCAGTCTTGGTTATTCACTCCTGAACAAATTAAGTAGTCGGACATGCAGATATATAAGGTATGTTTGGGGAATTTCAATAAATATACAGAAGAAGTTACTTTTTTATATAGAATTGTGCATCTATCAGTATTGCTGATTGCCTGTGGCAATCTAGGGTTCTCCAACCTACCTTTCGTAGACCTACCTTGAAATGCTGATTGAACCTGGATCGCTTCTGCATTGCAAAGCATAAATTCTACTCAGCTTTAGGCCCCAGCCTTAAAGCAAGATGGTATCTGTTTATGGAGGACGAAATAATGCCTTCGGTCTTAAGCTCAATAACCTAGGCCACAATTGGTGCTGCAATATATATGCAGTTAGGTTCTGCTGATGACAAATAGATTTAACCTGTCTGCACTTCATTGGTGGCAGATTTAAGCATGTCTAATTCTACATGGTGTTGGAGGAGACTCTTGAGAGTCCCATGGACTGCAAGAAGATCAAACCTCTCCATTCTTAAGGAAATCAGCCCTGAGTGCTCACTGGAAGGACAGATTGTGAAGCTCATGAGAAGAGAAGACTCCCTGGAAAAGACCCTGATGTTGGGAAAGATGGAGGGCACAAGGAGAAGGGGACGACAGAGGACGAGATGGTTGGACAGTGTTCTCGAAGCTACCAGCATGAGTTTGACCAAACTGCGGGAGGCAGTGGTAGACAGGAGTGCCTGGCGTGCTCTGGTCCATGGGGTCACGAAGAGTCGGACATGACTAAACAACAACAAATTCTACACTGAATTTTGGGCAGAGTCTTTCTCCCAGACTCTGAAACCATAAAAATGAAACCAGTAATCACAGACCCGCAAGGCTGGTGTGGAGACGAGGACACTTTGCCTATCAATCCTGTTCTTGATCCTGCCACAGGCATAGGCAACACTCCAAGACAATGGCCCACCATCTGGATCCAGAAACCTTTTGACAAATTTAGCAGCTTGATGTAGCCACACCTGCTGAATGAGAAGTTTGACTTAACTTTCACAAGCCGTTGACTGCTGATTATTCTAGTACCAAGGATCTAAAAGTTCCTCCTTTCTCCAAAACAAACATACAAACCGAAAACACCTACCTGGTACAAAACCCATGCTTATTTGCTGAATTCTAGGACAAGGGCAAGTCTGTGTGTGGTCTATGTATGTAGTGGGCACCCACATGTGTAAGGGGACAAACTGAAAATTATTTTTCTTTTCCAGATATAGCTACACAACCCTACTTGCTATGGCTGGCCTTTGGATTCGGTGCATTACCTGGGACTGATTTAAAATGTACATATTGGCTTCCTATGGCAACACTTCATAAATAAAAATCTGGAGGTGCAAAATGTGAGTTGTTCTTATTTTAGGACTGAATTTGCTACTTCGACAAAAGCATTTTGAATAATTTTGAATTTTGGGGGGAGCCAAGAGGCCTGTGGGGTGCAGTTACAAACCCCAGATATTCAGTGCTGGATTGGTGAGGGGGTCAAGACCCTTGTTTGCCAAAGGATACAGTCGTACCTTGGTTGACGAACGCCTTGCAGCCAATCAGAAGCTGTGCCTTGGTTTCTGAATGTTTTGGACATCGAATGGACTTCATGCTAATCTATCACCTTCTTGCATAGTCTTAGTTACAAGGATATAATGAGAACTTTGACTTATAATGCTTTAAGTGTCTTACAGTAGAAAGAATCAAACTGCCTCATTCTGCAGGACAAATTCATTTGTTCTTGGAGGCAAAATCACATTATTTTGTATCTACTCAATTGTACTAGACAGCTTGGCAAATATCCAGGGTTAGCTAGTAAAACATTTTGCAACAACCCATGCCTTTGCCATTTCAAGCAACACCAATGTAACTTTATTCCCCATTTTGTAAGGCCAAGAGTTGAATAGCTGGCTGTCAAGCAACAGCCTACTTTAGACCTCCTGCCAGGTGTGCATGTGGGCCAAACTACCTCATAGAATAAAACAAAGCCTTATGTAATGCAGTGAACCACTTCTAGACAACTATAGTAGAATCACCAGACAAAAGTGTGGCCATTGTTTGACATTAATGGCGCAGATCTTATAGGAAGTGATGCATCCCAATTTAGAAGAAACGTGAGAAGTGCATAAAAATAATCTGCATCATTGTTCTGGACATTCTAAGGCTTTTCTTACAATATAACCGAAGGCTTCCCATAAACTGTCCATGTCTGAAGACATTCTAGCCAAGGGAGAGTCCACCAAACCTACAAATCAACAGCTGCCCATCTGCTAAATTTACAGGCCCCCAGGACTGTGAAAGGCACTGCCAGAATTGCTTCATGCATTTGTCATATAGTGCTGGAAGGCTGTAATCCTGCATGCTGACCTATTTTTCTATAGAATCTCTATGGCTTATTGTCTCTCTGAAGCTCAGCAGGCTCTTTTCCGTTGGAAATATATTATTAAAATGTTGGGGGGTTTTTTTGTTTCACAGTCTCTCTACTAATCAGTCTATGAAGGCTTTACACAATGATTATTAAACCTGCTTGTAAGAGCCAATGTGACTTGGTTGTCACATTTGTCTAATGTCATACGTGTAGCAGGTTGTTTCATACTATGCCAAATCCTTAAATAAGTGAATGTGGCCCCTGAAGGAATTTAAGGCTTGTCTTGAGAAAGACAAAATGTTACCCACCCTTGGTTCCAATATCTACAATGAACAGAACCCGAGGCAAGGTTAATACAGTACTTTTTAAAAATAATCTGCTCTGTCATTAGAAAACATCCACAGTACAAACAGGTTACACTTCAAATTAACCAACTTTAAATTTAACAAATTAACATAGTGAAGTGGGGTGGGGAAAATATGTGTGTTCCTATTACCAGGTAATCTAAGGCAGAGAAAATGTGTGTTCCTATTACCAGGTAATCGAATCTCAAGTTTGTCCAGGTTCATCTGGAGTAGAATTTCAATAGTTTCTTTTTAGCTTTTCTTCTTTATCAAGAATAGTCTGCTTTAAACTCAGAGAAGCATCTTCAAACTTAGGGTTTAGCTCCAAGACCTTGTTGAAATCCTTCATGGCTTCATCAAAGAAACCTGCCTCAAAAAAGAAATGAAAAAGATGCCTTTGTCTTACTCTGCATATGACTATTGTACTATTTTTCTGTATCTCTTCTATCAATACAGTATATTTAATCTTGTTGCCCTGCAGAAACTGCAACTCCTTACTTTCATTGTCTCTCACAGAACCTCCCACAAAACCCAAATTTGTTGAGTTGCCCTAACAAATTTCATAAATGAATAATAATTATTTGCACGCTTTTGTTTTCCAAAGACACAAAAAGTGCACACCACATACTATTCCTTGGTATAGTGTAATGATTAATATACAGAATAATAAACTCTGAACTAATTTATGTTTGTATGTCTGTGTGATTGAGGCTTCAATCATCTGGCTGCATGAGTAGACAGAATTACAATGTAGGATATAGAATCTATTACAAAGCAGTTAAGTCCCCCCTTGCCTCTGAGGCCATTTCAGTGCACTGTTCCTTTGCCTACAGTGGGTGTTTTCAGCTCATATATTAGCAATACTAATCCTAATTCATAGGCCCAATAAGACAAAGCAATGGGTATTACAGTGCAATTGTGTAGACTTGTGTTTAGGAACTATCCAAATGCTTGAGTAAACCATTTACATGTACAGTAGAAGTATACCAGGTTGAGCAGGAGATTAAGCGAGGTTTCAGTCACTGCCATCATACTTGGAACTGATCTATTTCTGATACATTAGTTTGAATCTTCTTCATAAAACTTTATCTAATAAATCACAGCACACAAGCAAAAGGGCAGAATCTTCAAACAAACAGGAAACAAAGCAGCTTTTACAAAGTCAACACACATTATGGACACTGTGCCCTTTCAGATAGTGGGTCGTTGTGTTCTAGGGTCAAACACTGCACAAACACTTTATTTTTACAGTACTGCATTTCTAAAGTGGAATCTTTTGGGAATATGGTGTTATGTAAACCCAAGGGAAATCACAAAATGTGCTGCTACAGTTTTGCATTACCTTTTTATTCCATTTGTTAAAGGGGATGTGTTGGCATTCAGAAGGGGGGCTTACTCTGTGTTCTGCTGAAATCTGGGTTTCCTCAGTGGAAGGACTGATAATGGCAACAAGGTTTCTGGAAAGACTGCTCACCTACACTAGCAATAAGCCATGGGTCGGCAAACTAAGGCTCATGGGCCGGATCAGGCCCAATTGCCTTCTAAATCCGGCCCACGGAAGGTCCGGGAATCACCGCATGGATCGCCAGCGAGCGAGTTCTTTCCCTCCTCTCTCCCTCACACGGCGGCAGCAGTGCCTCCTCCCTCCCTCCTCCTGGCTTCTCCCCGCCCTGCCTAAAGGAGGAAGGGAGCTGGGCTTTGTTGGTGCCAGCTCCTCTCCAGAGCCCTTTTGTGCACCGCTCATCGTCCCCCCTCCGCCACCGCCAGCCCCTGCCACTCGCAAGACACAGGTAAGCAGCCACCGGGGCTCGTTCGGTGCTGTGGAGGAGGGGAGAGTCAGGAAGTGGCTTACCTGAGTAGAATGTGTCCTTTTATTTAAAATGCATCTCTGGGTTATTTGTGGGGCCTGCCTGGTGCTCTTGCATAGAATATTGTGTCCTTTTATTTAAAATGAACTACAAATACAATATGTGTAGTGTGCATAGGAATTCATTTATATATATATTTCAAAATATAGGCAGGCCCCCCACAAGGTCTGAGGGACAGTGGACTGGCCCCCTGCTGAAAAAGTTTGAGGACCCCTGATAAGCCCTGGCAGTGCGCAACCACAAGAGAGCACTGGGTTTATGCTAGGGCAAGGAGCAGAAAATAGATACCTCTCAAATGTTTAGCAGCAACAGAACCTCTGATTATACTGTTGAATATAAGGAAGCTGGGGCTAATCAGAAGTTCAGCTCAAAACTAATTCCTGCACATAGAATTATTTAATTTTAAGTTAGAATTGGGACGTGGGTGGCGCTGTGCGTTAAACCACAGAGCCTAGGATTTGCCGATCAGAAGGTCGGCAGTTTGAATCCCCACAACGGGGTGAGCTCCCATTGCTCGGTCCCTGCTCCTGCCAACCTAGCAGTTTGAAAGCACATCAAAGTGCAAGTAGATAAATAGGTACTGCTCCGGCGGGAAGGTAAACGGTGTTTCCATGTGCTGCTCTGGTTCTCCAGAAGCAGCTTAGTCATGCTGGCCACATGACCCTGAAGCTCTACGCTGGCTCCCTCAGCTAATAAAGCGAGATGAGCACCGCAACCCCAGAGTCAGTCACAACTGGACCTAATGGTCAGGGGTCCCCTTTACCTTTGCCTTTAAGTTAGAATTAGCCTCTATTCTGTGGATCTTGGGATTGATCCTGCAAGCCTAAAGTCTGCCCTGATTAGAGAAAATTTTAATATTTGATGTTTTGTTGTTTTTAATCTGTTGGGAGCCGCCCAGGGTGGCTGGGGAAACCCAGATGGATGGGTGGGGTATAAATAATTATAGTGATGATGATGATGATGATAGGGTGCAGCCTCACTTCATACAAGTGAAGCCTAAGAGCCTGATAAGCACTGATGTGCACACAAGAATCTACCTCAGAATCTTGCTAGACAGGGGTTCCTCAACGAAGTGGAAAAGGTTCCCAGAAGGTAGAAACTTTTAAAGCCAACTGTCAAGAGAACCTACTCTGAATGTTGCCAATTAAATTAGGACAAAGAAATGCATTTAAATATCCAATAATGAAAGCTTACTTCCATACCTAGCCTATATAATATTAATCCTCTGTTATAGTATGGGACTTCAAATTCAGGCCAGGCTTCTATAGCTGATGTATAATCCTCCATTGCTTCATAGAAGTCAACTCTCAAATACTTGATCTGTCCCCTGTTGTTAAATGCTGTTGCCAGATCATGACTGATGAAAAGAAAGGGAAGAGAGTTATTGTCACCTACAAAGAATTGTGATGCCTAAACATAAAATGACACAGAAAATCTGTCAATATTATAAAAAATTAAGACACGGCTGAAATAAAGTGAGTTTTAAAAATTAGGTGAATAAAACAAAACAAAAAATTTGCTTAAAATCCATACTTTGGAACTACAGGAAGATGAGGCACACAGTAGTCACAAATCTGTTGCAACATCTTAAGCAACAACGCAGGGCTAATCCTGTGCATGTTTACTCAGTACAGTGAGGCTTGCCTTTGAAGTAAAAGTACACAGAATTGCAGCCATGGGATTGCTTGCAAAACCACTTCCTGTGTAAATGACACGGCGGTCTGTTTCCCAAATCCTCATGTCCTTGCATTTAAATCCCACCCTTTTCTCCAAGGATTGTAATGTGACATCAGTAGTCTTCCCCCCTCCTCATTTTATCCTCCACATCAACCCTGGGAGGTAGGTCTACGAAGCAGTAGTGACTGACCCAAGGTCACCTAGTGAGCTTCATGGCCCAGATTTGAATCCTGCCATCCCAGATCACGCAGTCTGGTACTCTATCCACTACACCACACTGCCTCCCCTTCCTTCTCTCCTACTCTTTTAAAAGGGAAAACGAGGGGAAGGGGCTGTGAAGTTCATTACTGCTGCACAGACGTTGAAGGATTTTGGATGAGGGGGAGAGAGAAAATACGCAACAGCTTCCCTGCGAAACACACACACGATATAAATCTCGTCTATTGGAACTGGACTTCCCACCTGCTGACGCATGCGCAGTACTCGATGTAGCTGCTGTACAGCTCTTCCGCCCTTTCGTACCGTTGCTCCCGAAACGCTGCGTGCGCGTCACGCAGGACGTTCAGCGCAGGCGCAGACTCAGCTGTCGAGCCTCGGTCCATTATTATTATTATTTTAACGGCCGCTGTTCGGATGTGAGTTCGGTTCCCAACGCGCAGCTCTTCCTCCCAACCCGCCACAAAATATCTACCGTGGGAACAAAGCCCCCTTCCCTCCCCCGCGCGTGCTCGCCCGCCCGCTCGCGCCCAACTGTCCTTCGTGGCAGCCGTTGGGGCTGAGGCAGCGTCGCGCGACTCTCCTGCCGTGACGTCATCGGGAAGGCCCCAACCATAGATCTATTCAAGAAACGAAGACTGCCGAACGTTTCGGAGCTTCCGGGTTAGTTTGAGATATTCGCTCCGATGGCAGCTAAACGGAGCACATGCGGTTTTTAATGGGTATGGGCTACGGAATCTTACGGGGAATAATTATTATTATTTTAAATAATGCTAATAGTATTTATGGCAGTGTGTGTGTATGTGTATACATACATACACACACACACACACACACATATATATATAATTATATATATATAACTAATTATATATATATATATCTCGAACATTATATATGCAAATAAAATACAGTGGTACCTTGGTTTACGAACTTAATCCGTTCCGGAAGTCCGTTCTTAAACCAAAGCGTTCTTAAACCAAGGCGCGCTTTCCCATAGCAGCCGGGGACTCAATTTAAAAATGGAAGAAAACTCAACAGGAAGCGAAACATGTTCTGCTTCCAAGGCAAAGTTCCCAAACCAAAACACCTACTTCCGGGTTTGCAGCGTTCTTAATCCAAGTTGTTCATAAACTAAGCTGTTCTTAAACCAAGGTACCCCTGTAATAATATTAATAAAACAAGTGGTTGGATGGCCCTCTGTCATGGATGCTATAGCTGAGATTCTTTCATTGCAGGGGGTTGGACTAGATGACCCTCGGGGTCCCTTCCAACTCTCACATCATAAAACTCTAAATTTTAAAAGGCAAAAATTTGGAAGGGACCCTGAGCAATACCTTCCAACATTTTCTCCGATGAAAATAGGGACGTCCCATTATCCATAAGGATAATTTTACTATTTCTACCCCACCCATGTAACTGGGCTGCCCAACACATATAAAAAACATAATTAAACATTTTTTAAAAAACCATCCGCCTTCAGATGGTTTGTGGGGTTGGATAACTCTGTACCCTCCAACATTTTTCTAATTAAAATAGAGACATCCTAAGGAAAAGCGGGACGTCCTGGGGTCAAATCAGAAACCGGGATGGCTTCTCTAAATCAGGGACGTCCCTGGAAAATAGGAGGCTCCTGCAATGCAGGAATCGTAGCAAAAGAATCTCTGATATATGGCCATTGAACCTCTCTTTAGAAACATCCAAAAAATGAGTCCACCCCATTCCAAGACATTTCCACATTTCTGCTGTCCAAAAGCTCTTACCCTCAGAAAAGTTTTTTCTCGTGTTTAGTCGGAATCTCCTTCTTTCATTCCATCAGTTCAGGTCCTACCCTCTAGATCAGAAAAGTTCTCTCCATCTTCAACGTGACAGCCCTTCGGATATTTGAAGATCACTATCATCACCTCTCAAGTCTTCTCTTCTGCAGGCTTAGCAATGCCTGACTCCCTCATCCATTCCTCAGGTGGCTTGGTTGCCACACCTTTAACATCTTGGTCACCCTCTCCTTACCACAATCTGGACAGGGGCACTACACATACACAAATAAGCTTACAGGTGCGTATTCTCGCCCGAGTTGAAAATTGAATGTGCAAAATGCATCCTCTGTATGTAGTTCTCACATGCAGCCTTTAAAAATCGCTAATATTCTGCTGATCGGCGCTTGGGCAGAGCGTGGATTCAGCCTTCACCTGATTTGAAGGTGTTTTAGCTTTGGAAAAAAACCACTCCATGTGCTACTGATCTGTTTGAGCATGGGTTGCCATCACAAATTCTTTCCTTCCAACGTTTTTGGAAACTTCTTTGGCCCAGTATATAGTGTCCATACAAAAGAAGAAGAAGGAAGGCCTTGTGAAGTAGAGAGGGACTTCAAGAAACCAGAGAAAGTCAGGACAAGCATTCATTTTGTTTGTGTTATGTCTCAGACCTTGTTTATGTTAAGTAAGTGTCCTGCCAGATTTGAAGAAAAGATTCAGATCATTTCAGTTGCAGGAATGGATGAGTCATTAAATTGCTTATTTTGTTGTTGTTTCTGAGTTCATTCCGTCCTCTAACCACCTTAATGGGTTTCTAAACTTTTCAGACCATATCTATCAAGTGTGTAAAAAGCAAAAAGTGTAAAAAGCAGAGACATCACCTTGCCAACAAAGGTCCGTATAGTTAAAGCCATGGTTTTACCAGTAGTGATGTATGGAAGTGAGAGCTGGACCATAAAGGCTGATCGCCGAAGAATTGATGCTTTGGAATTATGGTGCTGGAGGAGACTCTTGAGAGTCCCATGGACTGCAAGAAGAACAAACCTATCCATTCTGAAGGAAATCAACCCTGAGTGCTCACTGGAAGGACAGATCGTGAAGCTGAGGCTCCAATACTTTGGCCACCTCATGAGAAGAAGGCTCCCTGGAAAAGACCCTGATGTTGGGAAAGATGGAGGGCACAAGGAGAAGGGGACGACAGAGGACGAGATGGTTGGACAGCGTTCTCGAAGCTACCAGCATGAGTTTGACCAAACTGCGGGAGGCGGTGGAAGACAGGAGTGCCTGGCGTGCTCTGGTCCATGGGGTCACGAAGAGTCGGACATGACTGCACGACAAAACAACAACAAAAATCAAGTGTTTAGAATCCCAGAACTAATACCATATGACAGGAAAGACATGTTAGAAGGTTCCCTTCTCTCCAACTAAACACACTGAAGCAGCATAATTTTTGCAGAAGAACCCCAAAACTCAACATTATAGTGTTGTGAGGGTTGTTTAATGCAGGGCTGTATGCTTGAGTCGTTTCTGTTTCCTGGGTCCAGCCAAGAATCAGTTGCTGAAATAGCCATGCTATCTTCCTGGTGAGGTACTGGCCCTTGTATGTGTTGTTAAGGTAACAAAGGAAATGGCTCTGTGCCAGAGGACAAATGTGTGGTGCTCCCTTGCCTCAACTGGTTGGTAGTTATCGAAAGACAAAAGCCAGAGTTGGAGGTGTGTGTGAGAGCTAGAAGCAGGCAGCAGGCTGAAGCATGTAAGGGAGAGACATGCTTGATTTCTAAGGAAATCCGAGGCTGTGGCTATGGAAGAAGCAAGGCCTTCTTGAGGGGTTAATGCTGTGACTTGTAAGCTCAGGTTGAATATCTGTGTAAGCGCCTGGAACCCCTGAAATCTCACACAGCTCTGAGATTGGGATGGCACGCAACAACAGAATTGATCTTTGTTTAGGGTTGCCATGTTTCAAAAAGTAAAAACCAGGACACCCTGAAAGTTGTTGAGTTTGATTTACAAAAACACCAAAAAAAAAACAAAAAACTTATACAAGCATATGAACAACTTGCATGTAAACACAGACGCCATGGACAAATTCAATGATTTTTGGAATCCATTCTTACAAATACTGTAATAGGTTAAAATCTGGTGAAGTGCAATAACAACCTTGTAAAATATAGTTTTGGTTTTTCCCCTCACCCCTCTATTTTCCGTTCTATGCGGGTTTTGTTTCTCTTTTTCTCTTTTTTATTTACATCTCACCATGTTCAGTGCACATATAATTATGTACTTTTTGAACTTTCAGTAAAGATGTTAAAAAACAAAAATGCCAAAAAAAGCCCACAATTTTTCGCCACATCTCGGAAATCCCCCCGTACGTCATTTCTGCCTTTGAAATCCTGGTAATGTCCGGACGCATGGCAGCCCTACCTTTGTGCATGAAAACAAACCAGCCGTTCTAATCAAAGCTCTGGTTACAGCTGTGAGTCATAACACTATCTGTTAAACTACCCCAGTTTACTACTTCACTAAACTGTGATTTGGATCCTGACTAAGGCTACAGTACACACTTAACTGGAGTATGTTTCATTGAACTCAGTGGAGCTTACTTCTGAGAAGGCATTCCTACAGGTATGTGATGATTGCACTGTAAGTCTGTTGCATGTAGATTCCATTGAACGCTGTAGGGCAAATTTATCATCACTTAGTTCTCATTGAAAACAGTGAGGCTTAAGTGCAACTAACTTACAGTGCTATCCTTCAGATGCCCAAAAGAACAATCTTTTAAGTTCAGTGGGCTGTCAGTCAAGCTGCAGCAGAATCAGCCAATGTGGATCCTAGACACCATTGAGGCTGCAGCATTCAGAACCAATTGAAGTTTCTGAACTGTCTTCCAGGGACATGGAGTGAAATGATTCTATATTGAGTTAAATTTGCATGTGGGAAAGGGAAATTAACCCTTCAAGTAAGATAGCGAGATTGCAAATCCTATTAGTGCTGCTGAGTTTATTAATCATGTCACCAGTGGCTGTGCAGTTTTGAAATCCAATTATTGGCCCATTCACGAGTTTCCTTTGTTGTTTCTATAGGAACATATTTCAACCAGGATTTTTTCTCTCTGCAGAATTATCTTCTATAACCTAAGGGCCACAAGAGAAGCCTCAAATACACATTAGGTCATGCCGGCAAACAGGGTTTGCAAAATGACTCTAAGAATACCCAAAACAAAGCTGTAAATTATTCTGAAAATCTGAACAAATGTGAGCCTTTAAAAAAAAAATAACCTCTCAGTCCTACCTCACAGAACTTTGGTCTGACTACCAACTTTTTGTTTACTATGGCAGTGACACGTTTACTCTGAGCAATGGACCATTGCATAAGTTTCCAGACCTGGTTTGAAACTTGCTTTTTTCTTTTCTTTTCAAAGAGTGTATACACTCTAGCCAAAAACCCAAATGGGTATGGCCTTGGAAATGAAAAGTAAAACCAAATAAAACCACTCTTCTGAGTTGACGTGGCTTTGATAGATAGTGTTGATGTCTTCTCTGGAGGCAGATGAGACCAATAGTGCGTCCAACAGTCAATAAGGTGTTTTTTTCTGCATGTTCTGTAGGGGGGGGGATGACGGGCCGATTGCTCGTTAACCTGGGAAGGTAGCCCATCTAGGAGAAGGAAAACTCTTATCCTAAACCTCTGCTGCCTTGTGGAACATCTTTGGGAGAGAAAAAGGCTAAGGGGTAAACCCTACACAAATTCGGAGTGGAGTCCCTAAGACAGTAGGATGTCATCCTGTACTACTACTCCTGGCTCA